ATAATCTGTGCGAGTGCATGCAATGTGGCCTTAAGTAATTTCATATTTGTTAAACATTGGGACTAGTCGTTTGATCTCAAATTACAATTAGTTTTAGTTAATTAATTAATGATATCCACGTAAACTGTGTTTAAAGTAATATTTTATTAAACCAAATAAGGCAGTTATTTGGACTGGATCTTTTTACATTGTAACCGATCATGTAGGTAAAATAAAGTGAATATTCAAACTTGAAGATTGAATTTATTACCTACTTCGAAATAAAAATGGTTATAAAAGCTTATCATATAAAACAAAATATAAATTCAATAAATAATAAGGAATAATTAAAAAACACAAATAAGAATAAAAATTCTGTGGATATATCTAAATCCTACTTTATTCTAAAAGATGCTTTATAAAGAAGAATATATATTACACACGGTGACTACTATCCAGAAAAACTTGTAAATGTCAAGGAAGCATTTTTTAGGATATTTTTTTGGAAGTGAGACACTTTTTAAAATTAATACATTCACTAAATAGGTGCCTGTCATTTTTAAATAAGTGAGCATTCAAAAAGAAAATTAAATACCAGGGCAACAAAAAATAACGATCAAAAATCAAAAAAAAAAATTAAAAGCTGCAAAAAAAAAAACATTGGAGGAAAAGTTTCAAAGATATAACATTAATAGAGATGCAAGTTGAATAATTATTATATTAATATTTCCTTATACAAGTATCAAAATAGAGAAGGAAATTTTTTAGATTTGTTTTACAATAAAGCTTTGTATAGTCAAGAAATTAATTGTTGATCGTAAGAAAGTCACTACAATCTACATTTTTAACATAGTCAAAAAGGAGAAAAATTAAAACTGAAATTAATTGAAAGTTATAAAAAATACTATTCAATGTCATCAATACTAAAATCTGGTACAGAGACATCATTGTCCTCAATTAAACTTATATCGAATTCATCATCATACTCAGCAATTCCAGAATCATTGATTGGCAATTCTTCAAAAACATATGCTGCTTTAAATGGTTCTTCCAATAATGAAGGTGTTTCAGATCTGTACTTTTCTGCAAATGCCTTCACTATGGAATTAATATCTGATTCGCTTAAACGATCTTCTTTTGCCCATATGTCTTCAAAATTATCTATAATTACAATATCAACTAGATAGCTACGTCAAAATACAGACATTGCAGAAATTTACAAATTAAACGTCTCAGGGAGTTCTACAGCTGCTACTGACAAATACGAAGTATGTTTTTACCTATCACCGCAGACTTTTCCAGGAGAGTCAAATGAAAACATTAAAGATTTGGATTTAAAGAATTTGTTTTGTATGAATCCTTAGGAATGAATATATCGAGAAATAGCATAGAATGATCAATGATCAGCTGATGAGTTACTAAGGTGGCAACAGATAATTAATTTAAATATGGGGGTATTTGTATACAACTGGCAAGCTGTAGTTACAAAGAAAATTTTCACAAAAATTTTTAACATTGTGACTGAAATGAATAGGTACATATTGTATGTATATGTATATGCCTATACATTTTTTGTAGTTTGTTACATTATTATATTATTACAATGAATCGATTTATTACAGTAAGGTATATTTGGGATCTACTAGATAGAGATGTTTTAGACATCTTTAGTTTTCCGCTCTCAAAAGTTAACAAAAAGCAGTAATCAAAATTTAGAGAGAGAGTTGGTTATAGATGTAAATTATAAGCATACCATCAAATTCCTTATAAACAATTTCGTCAAAAAGACATTCAAACTCTTCAGGTTCTTCTACCTTGGTCTTTGGAGATTTGCATCCAGAATAAGACTTTTGTTTTAGTTCTTGTGGTTTTAAGCTGTTATTTTGATTTATACGATTATTAGAACGATCAGCCAAAGGTTTTCTCTGAGAAGAATTTATAGAACCAGCCTTTTTGGCCATCAAAGTACCGGCATCTAATTATAAAAAAAGTTCGTAAGAAAAAGTAATAATAATTGATTTTTCACTTACTTTCTTGATTTTGTTGAGAAAAAATACGAATATTTGGTGAGGCAAACATTGTAAAATCATAAATGTTTCACTACTGCTATTCACACAAACTCATACACTTTGAATTTTATTCGAATCACCTCTTTTTATCGTTTGTAACGGATTTTAAGATTCGAAATTTGACAACTATCATATGATATCGGTATAGAAGTAACGTTATGATATATTACGGCACCATCTATAAAACAAAAGTAAAAGTATAATACAACACTAGTAGTTCACCCAGTGTATCAGAGATGCCAAAGTTAGTCCTATGTTAAGGTGATTCCCATAAATTAGGGAGGCAATTCAAAATTTGAAATATAAATTTTTGTTTTCATTGATTATTATAATTTTGATTTAGAATAATCAAGAATTTTTATCAGTTTTATAATAATTGTGTCTATATGTCTAAAAAATACATTATAATACAGTACGTATTATGTTACGTCTAATTAAGTACGTCACGTCTACAATACCTATGAAATTAGATGAATATTTGTTATGTTATTGTTAGTTAACAGATGGTTCATTTATTAACGAAAAAGCAACGTCCTGGCTTTTCAAAGTGAATTTGCATACATGCGATATTTGTCCCTGAATATTTTAGGAAGTAAACTACTTTTTCAAAGAATTGTTTTTAATAGATTCGCTTCTTTCTAAAGTTTGGAGTTATATGGTTTTAAATAGGATGGACCTTATTAATGTCTTTTTAACTCTAAAAATGATTTTCAGATGTTTCATTATCAACTAATCTAATTTCTATCAGGGCTCGATTTAAGGGAAGGGGGGGACCGAGCAAATGCCCAGAACGGCAAAAATAAGGAGCGACGAAATTGAGGTTGCTGGGTGGTTGTACGGACAGAAAAATCTCAAAAGAAATTACAGTGATGAACAGCCCGAATAATAATTTTTAGTGTTTTTTTTATTAACTATTTTAGCTAGCAGCTGTAAATTGTTAGACTGACCAACTGACCACTAAAATAAAATATATTAAAGTGTTGTCTTATGATTTTCTTAATGCTGTCACTTAATAATAAGGAGCCAAACAGGAAGAAAAATAGGAAACAAGGAACCGATTCTTTCGACTATCCGAAATGTAATTATTTTTCATGATTTTTGAGTTGAGAATACAACAAAACTTTGAATTTTTTATCGACTTTACATTTCCGAATTAACAACCATTGTTTTTTCGTTAATTTCACAAAAATTCCTCATTCACGTTGAATGAAGTACCTAGTGATTTCCGATACTATGTAATAATAACATATTTTTTGGGAAATTCTCTTTTATCCTACAACGTAACAATTTAGGGGATACCCCAAAGTTGATATATACAAGAATACGGATATTATTTTTGCATCAGTTTAACGCAGTTTTCTGGAGGCTCCTAGTGATAATGTTCTATGTTGGCGACTCATTTCTGTCACATGCATGCCCTCATGTACATACAAAATTGCACCATTCCATCCCTGGAATAACATGTTCATGACTTATATTAAAGGCAAATATTATTTTTTCCCCGGAGCGGGATCGGCCCCTAATTTCAATTTTTACCATATTGGTTCTTGATTTCATTTTGTTGCTTTACCTTGGGGTCTTAGTTTTGATCTTATAAAAAACTCAATACTTGTACTAGCAAGTCCAAGACTTAATTTGTAAAAATAAAACCAAAAGCATGATCCACATATTGGAGGCAGAAACGGATGTTAGGAGGGGTAGAGGTAGACCTAGATTAAATTACTGTTCGCAAACAGTTAGGGATGTGGGTTGTTCTAGTATTAGAGAAATGCGAAGATTAGCTCAAGATATGAAAGAGTGGAGGTGCGTGTCCAATCAGTCTTAGGACTGACGACCTTATGATGACGATAATCCACTATGTAATAATAAAAGCTAACTGTCTTTAGGTGTGCTATTTGAAATAAGCAGTAGAGTATCTGTTACAGAACAAAGATAATACTAGTTACTGTGATGGAGCTATTTCATGAAAGTTATCATAAGGTCGTCAGTTCTAAGACTGGTTGGACATGCACCTCCACTCATTCCTATCCTGAGCTAATCTTCGCATTTCCCTAAAACTAGAACAACCCACATCCTTAACTATTTGCGAACAATAATCTAATCTAGGTCCTACCCCTCCTAACTCCTGTTTCTGCCTCTAATATGTCTCTGGGTAGACCTTCACGTCTGAGAAGGTATCCTGCCAACCTAGCTCGCCTATTTCTTATTAACTTTCGTAAAGTCCTCTGTTCTCCTAGTCTTTCTAATACCTCTATTTCCATACTAAAAAAATAATCAAGCAATAAGCATGTTTTAATCAACATACAATATACATATATGTGGTTAACAGTGTATTTGCAAGGAATATTTTTATGACTTTATTTTTCAAATATGAAATTATCTATTTCGTTGCCAAATTGCCAAGGGGGGATTTTGTTTAGTCAAACTTTTAGAAAGCACATAGAAAGATCAATACTGGGTTGGTATTGGATCGAATAACATACAAGAAGACAATTGTTGAAGAGGGAAAAGATTAATAACAGATGTAAGGTTATATATCAAGAAATAGAAAACGTTCCCACTTATGACACGGCTGTATCACATCCGCGGTTCCTGTATACGACATAAATCTTTCACGTGGAAAGACAATGGTCGTTTCTTCGAATTCCGACTGTTCGCTTTGTTTTATTTAAAAATCGTTAAGGTGCTTGACACCCATTTTTCATCGGACGCAGTGAAGAATAAAAAAAGAGCAAGCAAAGGATAGTGCACCATCCCCGGGTGGTGGCGTTGTATATAATTACGGGCGCGGGAGATATCATGTCACGATTGTGCTAAGTATAGTGTTTGGTGCACCAATAACCAGCCCAGCGGACCAACCCATCTGATCGATGTGATCGAGAACTAAACTCGGACTCTTGGTACTGTCGGTCCGCTGCCCAGCCAATTGGTACTTTATTAACGATGCCTGCCTGATCGGAATATGGAATTTAATATAGATGGCTAGTCAGAACCACGGATATTTTTCTCTATACAGGGTATTCCATCATCTTAACCATACTTTAAGTGGATCAAAACGTCAAGGAAGGGAGATCTTCAAAAGACACCTCCTGAAGAGAGGTACTGTCGGATTTTTACCTACTAAAATCCCTCCTCGAGTGTGAAGATTAACCAGAACGTTGTACATCCCCTGGAAGGAAATGGAAAGGTTGGGAGTGGGAAGAGGATTGAGTTGGGAAAAGACTTGAATGTGGAGAGGAGACGGGAATATTTGGGTGGGGAGAAACCGTCGAAATTGGTGGTCCACCTCTGAAGTGATGGACGCGCCAAAAGCCGAATCAAAACGTCTTTCATCTTCTGCTATGATATCTTATTCAGTCAAATGAATTACTGAACTTTGTGGGATTCAAAAATATTCGGCAAGTCCATAAGAATATCGACTCGTCTAAATAAAGAGGCTGAAGAGGACCCTAGTTGGTCCTAGAACGGCCTGAGGTAGAGGGGTTTTAGTCGGTAGGTCCGAGGACTTCTTCCTCGGGAATCCGACGCTACCCAGTCCTACGGGCGGCTGGGTGTCTTTTGAAGATTTCCCCTCTTCCACGAAAATATAAAAAAAAATCTAAATGAACCCATGACGTAGCTACCCCTACATGGTAGACATGAAATTAAGCAGAAAAAAAGGTCGTTATGATTAGTATTTTGCTGAATTAAATAATTGAGGGAAAGATTTACATACTATAAGCAAATGAATAGAGAAATGATGTTCGTATACAATAAATTTCTTGCGTCGACCGATCTAGCAGCGATATTACACTGCATAATGGTCAGCATGATCATGCCTGACAGGAATCTAAGATCTTTAAGGATAAAGCAGAACTAAACAGAATTTTTAGAGAACATGAGAAAATCCAATTTGAAAACATAAAAGTTTTGAAAATACAACACAGCGAAGATATTCACAAAATTCGAGAGGAGTGTAATGTGAAAGCGAGAAAATTGGAAAACAAGTTTGAAGAAGACTTCTAGCAACTATGAGAAGAATCACAGATAAAACACGGTATGGAACTGACAGAATTTGAAGAACGAAGAATTGTTGTGATCGAGTACATTATTCAGCATCACAATCAAACATTCACCTAAGGACGAAGAATTTCTATAGCAATATAGCGCTTAATAATTTAGCCCTAATTCAAGCTTCAAGTATCACACTCTAATAGACTGGATTCCTCTAAAGGAATGCTCTGTATATGAAATTGACTTCATGTTCCCGACTCTTGCTTCGAATATTGCAAATGTTGATTTACGAAGTTTTCCCGTTTTTTTTATTACACCCGATACCTATACATAGTGGTTCGCTTCTTTTAAATTATAACCGGTAAGTTACGTCGAATTATAGTGGTGCTTTGCTCCTCTGAAACGTCCGTTTATTGTAGATGAAGTGCTAAAGGTTAATTCCATCAGATAAAGCGCGGGTAGCAATTAAATCTCGATGTGTATGAGCTCCTAGTTCCTAGACATTACAGCGTGTAGGTACTTGTTCACATTTACGGAAATTATTGCAAAAAAAAGAGTCCGTAAATGTATCAATGTTTTTCACTGAGAAATCAGCATTTTAACTGATTCATCAATTACGTTGCATTCAATAAGTTAAATAATTTAAAGCATTATCAAAAATTTTGTTTCTCTCCTACCAATAAAAAGCGCTGTTTTCCTTCAACGCTAAAAAAGGAATTGAAAATAAACTCACCATATTTTCTAGCGAAAAGAATCCTTCCTGCTCCTGGACGATGGACTTGTAGAGAATTGCTTCTAATTTCGAGAAACTGTAAAGAAACATTTAATATAGTAAAAAGCATACACAAAGAATGTTAGAAGCCAAATATTCCATTGAAAATTTTACGCAAATTTTAAAAATAAAAAAAAGAAAAATTTTGATTTTCATTATTTCTTAATTGCTATTCAATGCAAAAGGAACTAATTTGACAATTTTCATTGTCAAAACAAAGTATATATTTAATATATTGTTAAAATACTAATTTTCTAGGAAAATACGACAACTGGGCTAATTAGTTACATTTTCCATTAATTTTATGAAGTACAGGACGTATGTTCATATTTTGCATCATTATCTTCAATCAGAGTAAGGGGGCTATGTGTTTGATTTCCAGTGAAGGCGTGACAGTAGCAGCAATTTTTTCCTTATTAATTTAAAGTTATTTGTAGTAGTAAAATTAAAAAATTAATTCACTTTAATGTATTGAAAAAAGTTCTTCTAAAATTTTTCTAGCTTCTTTGCTATTTTCTCCCTTCATAATATTACTCTCATCCTTTTTAGACCATCGTTTCTTTTCATCTGAATTTCTCATTTTTTGTACTATTTCCCATTATTCCACAGTCGAGCGTCTTTGGTTTTAGTTTACACAGCCTGTATATTTTTTTCTCTTGATCTTCCCAGTACTTTGTCGTCCTATTCTCACTTCCCAGGCTAAAAATACTGTTAAAACTAATTCATGTTTACCCTTTGCTCTTTCGTCTTTCAAATAATTTTATTTTCCACCCTTTCTTTCCATATTTTCTTGTATTCTTATGCGAATTTTAAGTGACTCATTTTTGGTCTTCTTTTTTACTTTTTGGCAAACTTTCTTATTATACTACGTTGAATTCATAACTACCTCTCACTCTTTCTTTTCTGTTTTTTATTTCTTAATCTGTCTGGTCTTTCTTTTACCTTCATTTCAGTATCAGATGTCTATTTTCTCACATAATACAACAGAGATTTTCACATGCAGTCGTACCAAGATCACATCCTTCGTATATTTAAAATTGATCTTATTTATTCCATCAAACGCATTTTGGGACCATGTTACACACATTGTATGAAAACAAATAAATAAACAAAGTTGTCAAAAGTAAGAATTTCATTATATGTGTATACTTAGAGTTTTAAATATGAAAATGCCATAACCTGGTATACGTTTTATACCAGAAGATCATTTCACGTTGATATGTATTCTGATTTCTTTCGAATTTTCTTGGGTCCGCAAACTGATATACCTTTAGCGCGATGGTTCTGCTGGATAAAAAGCAAGAATAAGGATTTGTCGAAGTAAGTATGTGTAATGTGTATATGAGCATCATGTCCACGGTTCGGAGCCACGTTTCAGCTCGATGTGATCGGATATGGCATGGCATAATAACGAGATGAGAGGAGTGTTGTTCGGGCCTCTTCATTACTCGGTGGGTAGAGATGATCACGACTCGGTAATGTGTGTACACATACCAGAAGATAATCACTTTTATTACGAGCCATCTTAAGTATTGTACATCTTGTTTTAGCTTCGCACTTTTTTCGCGACTGCTCTCCTCCTCTTATTATTCGACCGGTTGGTTATGTTCCTGTGTCGATATTATTGTTTCGATGCTATTATCCTCCAGCCAAAGAACATTAACGAACCAAACAAAGAAGAAAAGTTTAACTAACACCATGGAATTGATACGGAATTTCGGAAAAGATGACTTTCATTTCGAAGAGTATGTACATTGATTGTTTCGAGATTTAAAAAGGGATACCTATCCTAAATTGGTCTCGTTGATATTTCAACAAAATTGAGCCGTATCGTGTAATTCTTTTCCTAAGAAATTAATTAAGTTGAGATGAACCGCTTTTCGATGGGGGCTCTAATACTCGTAATACGAGCACAAGTATTAATTCTTTGTTCTACGGTCTTGTACATTGTAATGAAGACATAAATACATAAACTTGATCGTCATCATAAAGTCGTCAGTTCTAAGACCGGTTGAACACGCATCTCCAGGTTTTCCTATCTTAGCTAATCTTCGTATTTCCCTAAAACTAAACGTGAACAGTAGTCTAATCTAGGTTTATTTCTCTAAACTTTTGTTTTTGCTTCTAATATGCCTTTAACCAGCCCTTCATGCCTGAGAAGGTGTTTTACCAACCTATCTCGCCTATTTCTTATAGATTTCCATAGCGTTTTCTGTTCACGCTATATCTTTATCATTCGCCTTTAACATCACATTTCGAACGCTTCTAACTTTTTATTTTCCGCTGCAAACACCGTCCATGTTTCGCACTCGTACAGCGCCGCGTTCCATACATGTATCTTTAATTATTAATCTTTTTCGAATTTCTAAATTAACCGTTCGCGACCATAAAAGTGACTTCTTTTTGTTGAAGGCGACTCTACTCTGTCTTATATCTCTACTGCCCTATATACACTTATAACTATTAATTGCGAGAACTAAAAACATAAAAATATTTTTTTTTATTAAGGAATACACAAAGTAATTTAATTACTACTTATATTAAAGGAAAATTCGAATGTGCCGTATGAAAAAAATTATAAAATAATAATAAATGTAAGTAGGGTAAAACAACACTGTTTAAAATTAGATTCCTAATATTTAATTACTTTTTTATTCTTAAAAAGCAAAAAAGCAATTATTAGGTACATCATTTTGTTTAAAATTTTGTGGTATAGGTAGAAAACAGTAAAATTACAGTTTCCGAACAACAAAATGCTTTCCTAAAAGCCTGAATTTAAGACATTTCTGTTCCTACACACTTTTTACGATTCCCTTAAGTTGGTATCCTGAATCGGTTTCTTCTTCTAACGGAAAGAGAGCAAAATGAAATAAGGAAGAACTAATCGGGATTTCGCTTCTTCAGGTTCGTCGCGGTCATCGGTGTGCTCATTCTCGTTTACCGCAATATTTATTGCACCGAGAAAGCCATTAACATGAAATATTTGATGATATTTAAGCAAAATTGCTTTCCGATTATTAATTTCAAGTGGGAGTTTGTTTCGCGGAATAGCAGATATACGCCGTGAAATTAAAAACGGAAAATGAATAATGGTAATTAATACTTGTTCCATTAAGAACGCTGTTATTACGGCCGCTACGGTTCGCATACTTCGATCGGGGAGAAGATTTCACCCCGCGATATTTAAAATTTGGACAAAGCTCCTCCTTCCCGCCACCTCCACCATCACTTCATTAACGCCGACACCCATATATCTACTATTACACTCAAATATAAGTTATTAACCCATTTCAGATTCTACCTATCAATATTATGCTTCATTTAATAATTTTACTACAAGAAACAGGTGGATTTCTGGTTCTATTTAAATATTATGTAGGTATTCGTCTATTATCTACTTTAAAAACATGCTTATTCGCATAAACATAAATCATTCTTTATAGTGTTGCTGTTGCTGTCGCTGTCTGGAAATATTATTTATTTCTGCATTAAAATTAGATACATGTTTTAAAATAAATAATTTCATTAATAGATTCAAACAAGTTTTCGTAATGCAATGATTAAAGAGCCTGTTAAAATATTCAGCATTCCCAATATTCTACGTAAAATAAATATTGAAATCATAACATTATGTATAATATAATAATAATAATATANAATAATAATATATCTAATGTAATAAAATATACATAATATTTAACATTCGAATAATTACAGCTCGAATGTAGACTTAAAAGTAATGATTATATCCCAAGAATTCACTCGTTTCTTGTATGTAATCTACTAACTCATAATTTTTTAGCCCATCTAATTTTAATAATACAAGTTGTCTCATTATTCAGTTTTTTACAAAAATCTTTTTACGAATTTGAATATTTGAATAGCTAAATGATTTGATATTAATTGAATTTAGCTTGAGCTTGTGATGACTCTTATAAAAGGTTTTGTCACAAGCTCGTCTAATTGATAAATCTGCTATTAGATGTTATGGGTTATTAATAGCTAGGACAATTTAAAATGTATAAATCTATTCAAGATTCAATTTAAGGCTACCTATCGCACTTTACCGTCATACATACATATAATTAGTTACAACGTATGTACGGGTTTACCTGCTTTAATTGCATTTTCAAAATAGTCACTAATACACAGATAAATTAAGGCGCTTGTCGATTATTTTAAAGTAAAAGCAAATATATCAAATATAGAACTAAATACTTATTCAGCACAAAAAATTGTTGGCAATATTATTATGTAAATTTACCTACACTTTATTTACAATATTGTCACATGTACCTATGTGTGTAAACCAACATACATAATGGCAAAGAAGACCAGGTTTCTAGACGGCATATACTGGATCATTCTAGAACACGGCCAGTCTCTATAAATAGTTGTCGCGAGATCCAGTGTGATAGTACGAGAACGAGTTCGAGGCGATACAAAGCGAAAAAGTGACAAAGTGTTCATAAATGGTGAAATGATAGCTAATTAATAATAGAAGTGTTAATTAGAAGGCAAATAATTATATAAAAGTATAAAAGTAGTAATTGTGCAAGAAGGTGTGACAATATTATTAGTGTTGCATATTTTGGTTAAATTTAAGCAGAGTTAGGTTCCTATATATTTTATTTTTTGTTGTAAAACATTCATACTCAAAAATATTAATTTTGATTTGTTATAAACTGAAGGTGTTAAAATATAGGTAGTTACAAAGTTGTTTTATGTTAAACGTATGCATGGATACATCTAACATTTTTATTTTAATTCTTTTGTTTACATCAATTAATATATTAAGACAAGTCGTACACATATATGTAAAAGAGATATATGTATACATGCGTGAAACTACCACGTCTCGGTAGGCGGTAGTTCATTAGTTATTACATATATTTTCTTCACCTCTTGAAATTAATTTTTTAAAGGTTAAACATTTTTTATTTTCATAATGACCTGATTGTGCACGTATCTGATAGAGCTACAAAACAATGGTAATAAATGACTAGATTCAAGTTTCAATGAGCTGTAAAATTATAC